TTTGTAGAACTAAGTACCGATCCTCTAATGGTCTTTGACTGAAATTGGGAAGTGCTGAATGAGCTTGTGCCTATCTGGTCTGCTTTGTTTATCTGTGTTGTTTCAGTCATTCTGGTTTAATTTGGTCCAGGCAAACATACCAAAATTGATTTTGTTCCCAATACACTTCCAATTGTGTCTATAGTCACATTCAAAGTTATCCCAGTGCTCAGATGGATGCAGTGAATGCATGTAACTACAATGTCCTCGCTTTGGAGTCCTTTTTTCTTCTACAAGTCTGTGCTTCTAACTTGCAAGTGAAGGTAAATTATCTTAAAGATACATTTGTTACATTTTAATAAATATCCTCCATTTATTTTATCTTCTTTCTGCCCTTTTTCTGGCTTTCACATTTCCTCCATTTCTTTCTGCCTCGTAGCATCTCTCTCTCTCTCTCTCTCTCTCTCTCTCTCTCTCTCTCTCTCTCTCTCTCTCTCTCTCGCACTCTCTCTTTTTCCCTCCGCCACTTTGAAACAATCTGAAGCTGGCGATAGGACCGACTGCACACATCGCCATAGCAACACAAAGTCTTAATGATGGCAACAAGCATGACCTGAAGATTTCATTTGAGAGTGTCTGGGAGAGGGATGGGGTGTGAAGCCACAGCTCAATTGACTCCTCAGTTTTGCCCTCTAATTTGCTTCCCTCTCACTTCTCCCTCTACGTATTCATCAGTGTCTGCACTCTTCCTCCTTTTCAGGCAGCCAATAATGAGGCTGAATAGACACTTGATCGAGCAGGTTGGCCTCCTCTGTTTGGTAACCACGAGGGGGAAATCTAATCTAACTCCTTAACACACATACCTACCACAGACACACACACTTCACACACGGCCTCAAACTAAGCTCAGTTTTTGTCATTATCTCTGTGATGCCGGTGCAGCTGACCTCATGGAACAGGTTACCAGAGGTTGCTATGGTTACACAGAAATGAGAGAGACACTTTTCCATAACAATACACCTCTACGTGTTTCTAAAGTTGTGGACACAAAAAAGGTGAATGCACACAAAATAGTGTTAGGAAAAAAAACCCTAATTTTAAATTACCTTCTTTTAGATACAATGAAGTAACTCTTATTCAGACTAAAATAAAACAGATTATAAACATCTCGCTCTGTACACACGTACACACACACACGCCACAAAGCACTGCTTATTCATTTCCCCTCAGGGCCTCAGCCCACCACTTCTGATCAGTCTCTGACCCTGACAAACTCACTGTATGCTGCATACATTTTGCCATTGGCAGCAACATTATTGACAGGAGACACTACTTTATTCAAATGTATACCCAGGATATGGTAATGCTGCGAGTGTTTGTTTTAGAATAGCTAGTGGAAAAAAACATTTCTTCTTTCTTTAGAATTTGATTTCCCATGATTCAAATACTTGATTTAATTATTCATTTCCTCTGCAGTTATCAGATTGTATTAGCGTGTCTGTATATCCTCCATCATCCTCGTATCGTTTTACTATAGTAATGGCTGCACATTTGTGCTTGTCATCAGCTGTCTTTCTTTTTCATGTGAGACAGTATATTTACTGCATGTTTTAATGGTTACATTATATTACACTATACATTACTTTATCACTTAAAGGCACCCTTTGGAGGTTTTTTTTTGTTAATAGGAAAAGTCACCAAAATGCATTGTGTGTACCTTTTAACAAATGTGTTGAATGCCTTTCCTTCCCCATAAAATATTTGCAAAGAATAAGAAGAAGATATACTTTATTAAAGATAAATTCCTTTTTCACTCTTACTTTACACACAGAGGCCAGAAATACAATAATGCACATGCAGGCTTATAGACATGCAAACATGGAGAGATGGTGGAGTGATAGGCTGCCACGTAAGGGCACTCCGCGAGCAGTTAGGGTTTGGGTGACTTGTTCAAGGGCACATCGGCAGTGCACAGGAGGAGGAACTGGCACTTCTCCAGCTGCCAGTCCACACTCCATACTGTCGTCTGTGCTGGACTTGAACCAGCAACCCTCTGGTTCACAGGCCAAGTCTCTACAGACTAAACTGCATATTTTAAATCATACATTGTTTACATGCATGTTTGCAAGCTTGCAGGCTTCTTCTCTGCCTTTGTTGGTGCATGGCTATGCCTCCTTTCTCTCACCTCATTTCCTGTCATCTCTCTGCTATCAAAAAAAGATAAAAGACCACTTGCCTGTGCTCCAGCCATCTTACCTTCATCTTTCTCAGCTGGATGTAAAATTATCTTCTGTGAACAAGTCTGAAGTTATCAGTGAGCACTTTGTCTTGTCCGTGGCTCCGTCTGGCTGAGCTGTATGTACCACAGGTGATGTTCGCTAATATGGAAATGTTAAAATCTGTTAAGCGTATTAAAGGCTTGTAGTACTTTACTGATCAGTTTGTAATAGGTTCACTATGTCCACTGTTATAGATTTACATTATTATCATACAATCTGGTGAGGGGATTTATCCCAGCTAGTGTCTGGTATAAGCTGCTAATTAGGATTCCTATGACATATATTATACAGTTTGAATCAAATTTCGCCTTATTATTATCCTACATTATTGTCTGTTTGTGTTTATGAGTTTTCAGCTCAGTATGCTAGCAATGTGGGCTGTCTCGACTGCTTGTAATTGTCAAAGCTTGATATCTCAAACTGCCTTATTACAGCATTCATGTTATTGCGATTTGTTGTGCAGCTGTAGAGAAGGAGACGATATTATTATCTCATAATTTTAAGCTTCTTTCTTATCACAAAATATGTGCTAATAAACTCATACTGTGTAATCAAATTATCCATTGAGGCTCTCTCTGTAATTGGATGCAGATGTTTGCCATGGATTTCAGTTCAGTAGTGCAACCCCGCCATCTCTTATTCATCTTTGTGATTTATGCAGCTTTAAAGAAGCAGGTAATATACAGAAACAGACTAATTATAAAGAAGTACTCCAGGCAGTCCAGTGATTGAATAGTTTAACTTGAGCATCTTTTAAGGACCATTTTTTAATGTCTTCTGGCTTCCTGGGGCTTGTTAACATATGGAGATTTGGTTCTCTTATGGCATTAAGATGATAAATTACTTTCTCACTGCTTTGCAATGTGCTAAAAATGGCAATTAATGCTTCAGGGTGTAAGAGAATGTGTGTGTGTGTGTGTGTGTGTGTGTGTGTGTGTGTGTGTGTGTGTGTGTGTGTGTGTGTGTGTGTGTGTGTGTGTGTGAGTTGTTCTTCTCTCTCTCCAGACTGATTTTTTTCCACTTCTCTCTGTAGTGAAAACTACATAGACAGGGCAACACTTTTTAAGTTTAAGCACTATAGACATTTGTCTTTCACATATTTTGGCTACACTGGTAATCCTCAAAAAGGTTTATTTTAGCACAGCAGAGAAACTCAATCTAAATAAATCATGCAACACCGGGCTCAGGCTAAATAAAGGAGTCAGTATGCTTCAAACTAGGTCCTTGTCAGATTGTTGAACAGCATCTGAAACCCTGTTGGTTTTTATCTTTCCTAAATGGACAATCCTACAAACATGCTTAAGTTCAAAGTACTGATCATTTTCATTTTCATCATAAAATGAATCTGCTGATTATTTTATTATTTATTATTGTCTCTCTGGAAATAGTTGAAAATTCCCCTCAAACGTTCCCACACCCCAAGGTAATCTGTTTAATCTGTTTGAATAGCTTGTAACAGTCCAAAACCCAAAAGACACTCAGTTTATTAACATATATGACCAAGTTGATGACCAAGAAGAAACCAAGTTGGAACCAAGCACGAACAAATGTTTGCGTTAAAATGAATTAAAGCGCTTAAAAACAGATTCAAATGAATTCCTTGTTGATTGATTTATTGATTAATCGTTGCAGTTGTAGTGTTATGTTAACACTGTTATTGTCTCACCCCTCGCTAAAACAGCATGATTTTTGTATTGAATTCAAGACCGGTTTGTATGACCTCTTGTATGAAGTAGTTTGTTGCAAGAGTTCCCTGGCCTTAAAGCTGCAGTAGGTAACTTAAGGAAAATTAACTTTTTGTCTTAAAAACACCAGGGTTCCTTTGACTCCTCCTAGTACTACTAATGGCACTGGCAAGAATCCACCGCGGCCCAAACAACCAATCAGAGCCGAGACAGATAGTTGATTGCTGAGATGATTCTTAGGTTGTCAAATACCTGGGAATGAGATTCAACAATCAACTATCTTTCTTGGTTTTGATTGGTTGTTTTTGTTCAGGCGTGGTGGATTCTTGCAGGATGCAGTTAAAGTGTCAGCAAATATAACAAAAGGTTACATCCTGCAGCTTTAATATTAAACTTTTGAGTCAGGGTGTGTCCTGACCTCAACGGAAGACCTTCATTATTTATTTGCTTTATTTTCATCAAACAGTCTAGTTGTGCTTTGAGACTCTGTTTTGCATTTGTGACCCCTTGAACAAGAACAGTTTATCCATTTAGAAAGCTGTCAGTACGTCATTATGACAAGAGTTTGATGATCAGTAATAGTTGAAATCTGCCTCCTGATAACATATTTCTGCTGGTAACAATATATTCTTCCTGTTGCAGCCCAGATTGTGCTGCAGTCTTTTGTGATTTTACTTGTTCTTCTGGTCACCAAAATAGCAAATTCTTACTTGTCAACACCCACATGTATCCATGTACCCACATGAGTTTCATCTTCATGTCTCTATGTACTGTACAGTGTATAGGGTGTGTTAGAAAGAGGATAGTGGACTGTAGAGAGAAGTGAAGGATGCTGGTACTTTATACGGAGAAAGCATGGAGAAGGGCAAAATGTGCTGCTGTGGTGATGAATTGTTTGTCCCTGTTGGGAGTGACACTTGTCATTTCTTGTGTGTCAGTATTGATTCTGTCTCTCTGAAACTGGCTAGCACACAGGTTCATGCAAGTGGGTGAGTTAGTAAGTATATACAAGTGTGTGTCCACTAATCTCTTCTCTTTTCCTGTTTTCTCTCCTCAGAAACTAAGGCAGAGCTGGAGGATCTTATGGCAGATATCAAGAAGTTGGCCAACAAAATACGCTCCAAATTAAAGAGTGAGTACAATTCTTTCCCCCTGCCAGAGCTGTAACTAATGATTATTTTCTGTATCAGTCATCAATCAAACCCTTTGCTGTTTTGTGTTTGAATAATTACATACACAAAATTTCAAATATTGACAAATTGCCAAAAAAGTATTTAATCTTTTCTTAAGATATGAATTAAGAAAAATAAGCTAATCGTTGTGTTTGAAGTTGCAACAAACAAATGTCAATGGTAATTTTACATAATAATTATATTATGACAGTTTATACAATTATCATTTGGTGCTCTTTCAGCTCCAGTATGAGGGATTTTATAAACGAAATATTTGGGGATTTTAGGCTGACAAAAAACACCAATTTGAAGATGTTCAATGTTAAATTGGGATCTAGGAAATTGTGACAAGCATTTTTCACCGACCAAAGGATTCATCAATAATAAAAAAGAATAATTATTTGCAACCCTGAAATCTGTATTACAGTATTATGACCATACCCATAATCAGGGTGTGCAGCTGTTTATCTTTTATGTGGTGTGACAGCTCGGGTGCTCTCTCAGGAGAGGAAAGAGAGTACCAAGTGAGACATAAAGAGACAGTGAACTGTATAGCACTTGGCAGCTCACAGACAAGTCAGTTTACACATGTAGATTTGGCACTGCAGTGGGCAGAGTGATTAGTGTCACTCTCCACAGAGGTAGTGGCTGTGATTCATATACACAAGCACACATGAGTTTTATTCACACTTTATGCACATAAACTGACTAATGTTACAGTCACATACTGTGTGCAGGCCTAATCCACGTGTAGCTGGTCCTGGATCTCATCCCGACATGTACAAGGAGAGTTCTTGCTTATTATTTATCCCTGGGTGTTCATATGTATGTATGCATGTGTGTGAGAGGGCTATAATCTTCTTATTCTCTGATTTGTCTGCCACCCTCCCACCTTTTCTGCATTGCTTGTACATTTTGCAACACATCATTATCTTCTGTACTTTCTTATATTCAACTTTTCCTTTTGCTTGCAGCTTTCTCGTCTTCCTTTTTTCCCCCTTTTCTGGCAATATGAAGATTTTTTTCTATTCTTGTGGCGCTCCTGAAATTCTGTGGCATGAAAACTTCTGTGCCCACCACATAACTAATTATCTACTATATAAAACACTCTCCAGTGCCTCCCTACAAGAATCAGGTGACAAAGAATAGGGGTGAGACATTAAAGATCTGTATACAGTATCTTTCAGGAAAGTAGAGCACAACTTTAGTGCAGAGAGCTCGAAGATAATAGCCCCTATCCCTCATCCTACAGCCTGCACCCCAATTCCACACACACACACACACACACACACACACACACACACACACACACACACTGTCGGGTGCACTGTACACACTGATACACACACTTGACAAAAGTGCTATTAGGCAGAACAGGCTCTGCATCATAAGCCAATAACTGTGTCACTCCAGTTCACATCAGCTGTTGCCACAGGATACCTTTGTGTAACTGTGTGTGTGCCTGCTGTGTGTTTGTTTGTTTGTGTGTGTTTGGTTGGTTGGTCAGTAAGTGACATCATCTTTGTAAAACTGCACCCTGGGATCGTTCCTCAACAAGGACTGTCATCATTTATTCTCTTTTGCTTTGCAATTCTCAGTCAGTCTAGCATGTTCAGTCTGTGAATTTCTACAAAAACAGAAGACAGATTATTCAGATGGTGATCTTGATGTATTTAGATAATATCTATTTTAATGGATCTTTAGCAGCTATTGAAATTTCTCCTTTTGTTAAGTTTTTTTTTAATACAATGTATGCTTTGTGAAAAGGCCTATTATTATGCAGGAAAAGGTTGAAGCTGATGCCATGTATGGATGCTCCTGGGTTTGTCTGTGACATTCAAACAAGTTGGTGCTAAGGGACTAAAGGAATATGTGCCAAGAAAGCATCCCCAATGGCTAAATCAATCAGGGCAGAATATCTAGTTGTTCAGAGATACTAGAACCGTAGCATGATATCACGATTAAACATATTTGTGAATTAGATGCCTTATTACCTGTGATATTCTGTTGTATTGTAAGTGCACTTGTTTACCCTGTTGGCTCAAGCTCTTTGCATAAACAGGGCGGTGCACAGTGCGCACAGTAAGAGCAGCTGCAGGTGTAGACATCTCATAAAATATCCCTGAATGTGCAGGAGCTGGCACAGCCATCTCATCCCTGTTTAAATGACTGAAACATGGGAAAATGTAAAGGAGCAGGCTCTTACATCTCTGTATAATTCCGTAATTGATAGAGTACCTCACATGGCCCCACATTGACAGTCTCTTTAATTTATGTTATTATGGTTGGCAGCGGCTCCTCTACAATGACTTCTTGAGGTGTGCCTGTGAGGGAGCAGCAAGGAAAGTTCTTATTACAAGCAAAAAGCCCTTTTTTCTTCTTAAAATCCTCTGAAGATTCAAGAAAAAGAGCAGAGTTATCCCAGTAATTAAAACCTTGATACATTTCTTAACAGTCAGGCCTCTACCGCACTAGTTATTAAATGTCCATCGGAGTGACTGATTTGACTTGTGATTAATTGTTAATTAATTTGTGTCGAGCAGAGAGCTACTGTAGCTTTAACACGCAAGCCCCTCTCTAGTTATTATATAATAATTGCCTTTCCGTATGTACCTTGGTTCAGAACAAGAGAGAACAACTGACCAGCTTACCATCTTGATCTTAATCCGTTATCTCAAAAACAAAGGCTGTTTTTTTATGAAAACTATTGTGGATTTTCAGGATCTCCTGAGATTGAATCCTTGTGTCTCTGATGACCTCCTGACCTTTCTTCTTACACAACCCTCAAGGCAAAATGTCAGCTTTGCACACAAAGTCTGTTTCTCATTATCTATTTGGCAGATTAGCTCTACTACTGCTAAAACACTAAAACATCCCTTTTATTTTGTGTGATGTGGTGAACCTCCAGAGGCAGCCAACAGCGCTGTAGTCTTTATTTTTGTTTTTCTTTGTATTACTTTTCAAAAGGAGCTCTCACCCTGTGATTGAATGTGTATTTCTGTATATCCTTTCAGGTATCCAGCAAACCATTGAGCAAGAAGAAGGCCAGAACAGGTCATCAGCCGACCTGAGGATACGCAAGACACAGGTACAGCTCTGGAGAGAAGGCGGCAGAGTCAACAGCTGTGTCCCGATTACATACTGCATACTAATTGTGTTCAATATGCATTACATACATAGATGGATAGATAGTAATGGGGCAGTTAGTATAAAATAAATGAGGAAATGTTTATGTGTACCAGTAAATCTGTTTTGGAATGGCACTGTTAAGCAAAAGCTAAATGTTCTTTTGTAATACTTATTTTTTATACTTTATTTTAATTTTTACAGCTGTGAGTGGCTCCTCCATTTCCTTTGTGCAGAGCATTGTGGGTACCCACCAACAGCGCATGAAATCCTTGTTTTTTTAATCTGCATACTGACCAACTTGAGTATACTCAATTTTGTGTGAACACATTACATAGAATTAAGATGCAGTATAAAAGAGGTACATAGCTACACTGTGTTTGCACCTGGTCGCCTCCTGTTCATTTACCATTTAAATGACTTATTAAGTTGGTGTCTGCTGCTGGCATTGAGCAGGTTTAAGTGAAATGTTTTGTTATTCCTCTCCAGCACTCCACACTGTCCCGTAAGTTTGTCGAGGTGATGTCAGAATACAACACCACCCAGTCGGACTACAGGGAGCGCTGCAAGGGACGCATTCAGAGACAGCTGGAGATAAGTGAGTAGACCTGGAAGACAGAGCACACATGTTAACACTGCATGATTTACAGAAACACATGTGCATCTCCTCTCAGTCACATAGTGTTTGGTTGTTGTGCAAGTTTGTTTAAAGGCTGATGTTGCGTTGGAGATTCATGCAGGTTGGCAGAGCTCAAACCGAAAACAAGGTGTTTTCATTCACAGCAAATCACTTGTCATAAGTCAGACTAGACGATCACCTCTTGACATGTCTTGGTCATTTGACAGGACACACTTATGGTGTAAACAGTGTCAAGAAAGAAGGATCACTGTCAGAGAACAATGGAACAATTCTGACAACCTAATCTTTGTGCTGGTGTGTCATGTGGCGCCACAGATCCCACATTGGTTGTCTTCCACTATGTCACACTACAGGGGATAAAACGACTGACTGTCATTTTTGATGCTCAATTCCATTTTTGATCCCCCAGTCTAATACTGTGTACATACAGTATGACGCATAACCCCGGCCAATACTATTGCCTCAATGTGGTTTGCGAAATGTATTGTAATTGTTGTTCGATCCAGGGGTTGCTGAAACTTTTGGTCTGCTTTGGTCATTTCTGTTTCATTTCTTTCCTCCTTTATTTCAAGTCCTATGAGAAAACCCTTTCATCCTCAGCCTGAGCATCATCCTTCCCCTGTTATTACTTAGATGTTGGTTTCACATTAATTAGGCTAAAAATATAGTCTGCTCCCGCATTCCCCATCACTTTGTAAAGTGTCAAACTCATATTACACCTGTAGACTATCACCCAGCTTTGCAAGAGCATTACTACGTCTACATACTCTTACAAAAGTGTGAGGATATGCCATTACTGCTACACATCTATGCACATGTGATGACAATCAGTGAAATCCATGTGGTGAGAAGTGAATGCTGAAAGAGGCCATTCACTCATCTTTATTTTTGGATCCTTTGCTTTGTGAATTCTGGCAGGAGAAAACATCACCACAACCCGACCCCTGCTAGTACCATAACCACTTTACACACATGGTCTTAATTTACACTAATGCTCATTTTAGTAAGTTCTTACTGTATGTAACAGTTGACATGCAGTGTGGTTTATAAAACCACATGCAAGGTTTACACAAATGTATTAAGTGCATTATTTTCTTCTGCATTCATGTGATTCACTGTCTGACACAGTTATTATTAATGAAAAAAAGGCTCTAATTAGGTTGGTTGGAAAATAATTTACCTCAGCTTCATTTCAACTTACTGTCCTCAAGGGAAAATCTGTCTCTCAGCCAAATAAAATACAGAACACCGACTTGAACATAAAACATAATAAATACATGACACATGTAAAAGCTAATTATAAAAACCCTCCACACAAACTCATCCATGGCACTTGTAGAGGACTATGTAATTCGTTTTGTTTATAGACAATTTTCAGTTTATCCCATCCATATTTTCATTTTGAATTCGTCTGGTGTAGTGTACCAAAACAACCGTCCTCACTCAACACATACATCACCAACACCCACACCCATATTCATGCACATGCCAGATTGCTTCAGCTCAGATCTGAGCTCCTCTCACTCGTGTCACACTGTATGTGTGATATGATTTGACAGGTATTAGCTGTAGGCTCCTGGGACTCCTGGACCAGACAATGACACGGTCTCTGCAACGGCATCCTGGCAGGCTGCACCTTGCCAGCTGCCCCTAACAGTCATCGTGATACAGTCACCTTACACACAAAGACACATAAACACACACACAGACTCACACTCACACACACACACACACACACACACACACACACATATGCATGCAGAGAAGAACACTATGACTCATTTAGTGGTAATAGCAGAGGAGAGCCTCTGGCCATCTGTCAATTTAGAGCAGACACATGCAGCAGGTCTATATGTGTGAGTGCTGCCCAGAATACGCTAAATGTGGTCCAGTGAAAAGAACAGCAGTGATAACCCACAGTACGTTCTGGGGGTTAATCAAAGGACAGACCCTCCTTATGGAATAAAAACACACACCTGACTCACTTTTTCCTTGAGCACCTCCAGATTCATTTGGATTTGATTTAGTCAGCTGGTGAGGTCACAGGAGGCCTTAGCTGATATCACCTGTCGTCAAGGAAGGGATTAGACACGCAGGGAGATGGAATAAGAGCACAGAAGAGAGGGACAATTATGAGCACGAGGCAAAGGGAGAAATGCAGTTTTTTAATTTAAAAAGTCTCCACTGGAGCTCTTCCCATTCATATTGCGTTTAGTCTCTATTTGGATCTGACATAATTTAATTCCTTTAGGCCAATTTGGCAATAGAGCTGTTGTACTAACCCTTTTGACTTGTTTGTGTGTGAATCAATAAGAGTGTGCCACACACAGAGGGAAACATAGTCTGGTTTATCAGAGTGAGAATGGATGTTTCTTCTCCTGCTTCACTCCTTTCATGTTCGCCTCTGGATACAGAGATGAAATAAACAGGAAGGCAACACTGTGACATATTGTAAACATGTAACAATGTAACATGTAATTGTCAAGACAGCAAAAAAATAATTTTTGCCCCTATTTTCTCAGCATGCCAGAGTTACTGTCTCTATCACAGGCACAGTAACCCTAAGTCCAAATATATGTGCATCCCCCCTCACCAAACTGACTTTCTGTGTGTGTGTGTGTGTGTGTGTGTGTGTGTGTGTGTGTGTGTGTGTGTGTGTGTGTCATACATTTATACGGTATATATAATTTTGTCATTGTCCCAAGTCTTTATAAATGAAGAAAAACCCAATAATTTTGGCAGTTGATGGGCCTGTCCTTTAAAATGAAATTTAACTTAAAACCAGAGAAAACGTATTAATTAGTGGACTTTAGATTTCTTGGCTGGGAGTTGTATCTTCTTGGAGAACATGACATTTGAACAATTAGTTTTTTGTATGATCAAACAAGATATATGACATGTGAATTAGTGTGATTTAGAGGTGCTGGTAGACTGATTTACTTACCTTTGGATAGAGCCAGGCTAGCTGTTTCCTCTTTCTTTGAATCTTTCTGCAACATTAACTGTCTGCTGCCTCCGGCTTCATATATAACAGACAGATGTAAGGGTTATATTAATCCTATCTCTCTGCAAGAAAGCAAATGTTCCCCAACATGTATAAAGGGTTTTACTGTATCTTCCATGTTCTAAAGAGAGAGTTATTGAAGCTCAACTACAGTAACACATCTGTTTGAATATTTCTGCAATGCCACATAAACATTTGATATTTAAAGCCAGTGCAATGGCAGTTCTGTAGCATTTCAGTTTATCATTGATTGAAAATGCAGAATATCACACATCCATTTGCTTCTACAAGCCGACAGGCCGGCCCAGCAGGATGGAGGGAATGTTGGTCACAGGCATCGCAGGGCCTCTTTGACATTTAATTGTTATGTTTTATTTCCCCGTGGACACTCCCCTGACTCACAATGCCAGGGAAAAAGACAGTGATGTACACCAACACATTCTTCCTGTATAACAAACAGACTGACCTATATGTGTGCAGATAACAAGCCGTAAATGCCTTTCTCATTCCTCTGCAGGTGAAATTGCAGCGAACAGGACCATAAAAATCCCTCGCCTGCATTCGCTCTGTTCCTAGGGGGTCTCACTTCATTTGTGTTACATAACAATGGAAATGAAATAATACTGTTACTGGTAGCAACATAGTATGAATGATTTAATAGACCATAAATGCTACGGGTGAAGTGAGACTTATTGGCTTCATATTAGGCTTCTCAGGGTTTGGGTCTCCATGGTAACAAATAAGAGCCTCCCTCTGAGCCTGTCAGGGCTTTAAAAAAGCCAATGAGGAGCGTGTGTGTGTGTGTGTGTATATTTGTGTGTGTAGGAAGTGAGATAAATAGGGTAGGGTAGAACCAGAGCGCCTTCTGTTTTTTTTTCCCCCTCACAATTATCCATGACTCATTGTCGCTCATCTATGTCCTTCAACTCTAACTCTGACCCTCTTTAATGTTGTAGTTTTAGCCTTAATGATAGAGAGATTATTTATTATCAGAGAGGCAGGGAGAATATGAAATTGATCACAGAGATGTGGTGAACGTGGTCCTCTTTGTCTCATTTGTCAAACTGCAAAATGTCATTGCTGAACATGAGTAGATTCTTAAGTACGGTAATGAAACAGCAGGACCACTTAACCACAACTAAATGAAATTCATTGGTTTAATATGGATATGACGTTTGGATTAGACACGATATGCCCGGCGTATGAGAAAAGAAATGAACAAATGTGCCCTCTGAAACACACATGGGCGCACGTTCATGCATCGGTAAATGTTAGAGAGCCGCTTCATCAGTATTCTGTCCGTGAAGGCAATCATTGGCTCTGACTCTCGACCATCATCAGTCACCATCAACCTACCTGCTCTGCCACTGAGGCCCCCCACACCAGCCACCAGTTTTCATCGCGCATATAAACACAACACACACACACATACTCACACACACACACACACACACTTTGATTAGGTCATGAATAGAGGTTTTGTAGTTGCCTCAAGAACATCCAGGGAGACACAGCAGCTAGATGTCTGTTAGAGAGAAGAAGTAGAGTGACATCTAATAAAGGTGGTAAAAAATTAATTTGTCTGGTGTGTTTTCATCATTAACATTTTAGGAGAACACACTTATTCGCTTTTTGCCAAGAGTTAAATGACAGCATTGATACCACCTTCATGTCTGTCGGGTAAATATGAATCTACCTGTGCCAAAGCATGAGTATTGCAGCCACCGTAGTTTCTACTTTGCACTTGGTTGAATCAAGAGGTTTCAGTTGGTTGCAAACTTCACCACTAGATGCCACTAAATCCTATACACTGATCCTTTCACTTCTTCCATTTGTTTGATTTTTTTCCTTGTAAAATACTGTGTTCTTTAACCTCGTTATCAAATAAAATCCTTCAAATGAGAGAGGAGAAATTACTCTGGTTTAACTGTGGACTCTTGTTGTCCACATTAAGGCCATAACCTGTGATGTGGGGTCATAAACAGACGTTTCATTCTAAGGAGTCACAAGCCAGAAAGGTTGGTAATCACTGGCTTCCTTTAGGTTCACATGCAAGTAACATTTCTGTCCCAGGTTAAAACAACAAGAACAAGCTTTGAAATTTATTTTTAGCCATTATATGTTGTATTTATTTATTTTTTTTACTTTGTGTAGTTGCACTGCTAAGATTTTATAATATTTGCTTTTTCTCTCTTTCATATCAAACTGCTGCTCCTTGACATGCTGTATATTACTTTTCTTCTAAGTCTTAATTTTGTTCTTGTTGGCTTTAATATATTATGCCTGGATAAGATTAGCATAATCAATAAAACATAAACATAACAACTGAGAGAAGTCTGTACACCAGGTAATAGTTTGTGTCTTTATGGGGCAGAGATAGTACGTACTGTATCTAGCCTCACAGAGGATTTAAAATGTGCAAAGGAAAGATTGGAGATGATGCTGACTGTGACTTACAGCGTCAGTGGAGCAGAGATGGAGCCCAGGAGGGGCAGCTCTGCAGGCGGAGTCAGCACTCATACATGAGAATATTAATGTAGGTGTAGGGGAATGTTCAAGAAGTAGCACAACTCCGTCAGGGAAAATAAAGATGGATGAGGAGCAAGCACATCAGCAGGAAGAAGCAGTAGGATGTGCTGTTGTGCAGGCGGGGTCAGAAGATAGAGAGATAGAAAGTTTGTTAGGGGGAGCCACAGAGTACTGAGGCAAACTTAATAAAGTGCTGAATAAGTAAGTGATGTCCTTAACGTTTATTTACTCTTTAAAGCTGCACACTCAAGGATTATGTGGCTACTTTATTCATGTTTTGCCCATTCTGACTATTGAAGGGGAAATGTCAAAAGATTATCTAAGTATTCAATTTTAACCCTAAATGATTTACAGAATGACCCAAGCGGTTCTGATCAAACATGACTGATATATCTGGCTCAATATTTACACCTTTGCGTCCCTTCATATGTTACTGGTCTTTTTAAAGGCAGGAAAATTAAGTTTGGAGGTTTTAAAAACTGGAGAGACAGAAAGGAACCATTCAAAAATAGAATACAAACAAAATATTTAAAGTATACATTGATCCTTCCTCTGAGAGTATTAGAGGTTAATGACACTTATGTTATGCACAGGATGAAAGAGGTAATGTAGGACAAACGCTACAATGCAGTAGTTTATCATGAGCAGTTCTGGCTATATTCCATTACAGCTTAAATTATGATTAAAGTCCACTGTAATAAATAGATCTAGAGAGGAGGAAACCTCAAGTGCAGACTTTGATTATCCTCATATTTTTTGAGAAGCAGCTGGATCTGGAGGGGGAAAACATGCTGGACTAGCCAACAGGAAAGGGAAAGGGTTAAGTAATTGTTTGATCTCTGAACTGCTGAGAAGACTGTTTCAGGCTGAAATGTACTCAGTAGTATTTGAACTGCAAACCTCTGAGTGTTGGGACCGGGCAGTGTTTATACAACTGAAGGTGTGTCTGGTGTTGCAGTGCAGAGGCTAGTGGTGGTGGGACAGCATAATTTCTAACTGAGCCTTGTGTTATAGGTTGAATTCACATAAACATTTGAATATTTTATGCCTAGTTAAGCACTGACAAATCCACAAACACACACTTTTATTCAGATCAACTGAAAGTTAAAGTTGATATGTTTTTCCCACATTGAAGTTTAATTTCCACATAAAAATCCTTAAAATGTTATCTACTTCTTCTACCTCATTAAATGTTCTTCTTCTGGAGACAATATGTCTTCTACTTCACTGTAAAGTCCATTCTCAGTGTATGTAGTGTATGTGCACTGGTGGATTAATTCTTCTATATCACACTTGCCTACTTGCATACTGGACCAGGATCACGATCAATGAGCACAGAGACTTTCATCAGATGACTCTGCACATACATCATTCTACACAGTGAAGCTCAAACATCCAACTGTAGGAACAAGAAGAAAAACATATTTTTGAGCCGAGGAGACTCTAAAGTTAAGGGTGTCCACTTGTAATCCAGATCCATGGTGATATAATAGCTCTTTATGTATGACTGCATCTGTTCCGCAATTAATGCTCAGGCTAAACTATTATGTTTACGTCACATCCACTGCTGTTCAGAAAGAATGTAAGAATAAGGAGTACAAAATGCAGTATAGACAGTAAAAGGGAGATTGATAGAAAGGAAATGAGCATGTGGAAAAGAGAGAGGTATACAGCTCTTGTTTTAATGAATCGTCAGACTGACATTAGGAGGAGGGTAACCATTTAATCTAATAACAATGCACCTACACTTCTTAATACCTGAGCTTAAATATACTGTAATAGTCACATACTTGGTGAATCTCCGCAACGCCTACAAACATGATTGCTGTTATAGATGTTTATGGGTATGTGTTTGCCCTTTTAGCTGGGAGAAACACAACAAATGAAGAGCTGGAGAGCATGTTGGAGAGTGACAACCCGGCTATCTTTACCTCGGGGGTAAGTGATGCAACAAATGTGACATAAATCCACACAGAGCACCTTTATTTTATCCAATTCTACTCTTATCTAACTCTTTCCTTCTGTTACGACATCCTAGATCGTTATGGACAACATCACTGAGCAAGCTATGAATGAGATCGAGACGCGGCACACTGAGATCATCAAGCTGGAAAACAGCATCAGAGAGCTTCACGACATGTTCATGGACATGGCCATGATGGTGGAGAGCCAGGTGAAAACAGTGACCCTCTCTCAGTACCTGCAGCTGTGTGTTGCTCAGTCAAATGCATGTGAAAACAAAGCTGCAGACACTAAATTCATTCAGAAATTGGCAATCCATCTGCCAACATGGGCGATATAAAGAAGAGTTACAATTCTAGTTTCTAGACTCAGAATTTCCTACTGTGAGTGGTTTCAAAGGGTGGCCTGGCTTATGCAAGAAGTTCAGTAGCACACTGTGTTCACCATGGTACAATCATTAAAGCTAATGTTGCTTCTCTCTATCATGAAAATAACTCCACTTCAGACAGACGGCAACTGGCAGTCTTTTAATTTTATTTTAATTTAATAATAAAGTTGTAGCGTGTATTAGTATAGCTATTGGCCTATCTATGCCAACAGAGTTGGATGGAGGTTATGTTTTCAGCTCCATCTGGTTTTCTGTTTGCAAAATATCTCAGTAAATTTAGATAGAATTTGGGGCACACATAATTATTGGCTCAAGGATCAGTTGATTAGAATTTGGTGATTATTTGTATTTGGGATTTCTGCCATTAGACCATTTTTTATACATAATTATCATGCTGCGTTCACAAGCTGTAAAGAAACCTGACATTTGGGACTTTCAAGTTGGCAACTCAACAGCGTTTTGTTAATTTGCTGTTTTGTAAAAGCATTAAATGATAAACAAACCTTAACTTTTACAGGAGCTTTGGATTAGTTTAGGTTTCCCTGCGGTAGAAATGTTTTTCTGTTAGAGAACAGATATGTTGTATAGTGCACATTGTACTGAGGATTTTATGCCATCCAGTGAGAAATGAACAATGATATGTATCTTATAGCTTATAGCTTCCTCAAAGCCACTTATAAATTATCCTCAAGTGTAAGACTTGCCTTTGCTCTTCTAAGTAATGTGTTGAGCTTCAGGTAAATCTTTAGGCCATGCCTGTATGTGTGACTGCATGAGTGTGTGGGCTGAACCCCCAGAGAGATTAACTTCTTCACTCATCAGAAATACCGTCTGAATTATGGAAATGTGAATCTGAGCGCATGAATAAGAAAATATGCTGAATGACTAATATGAAAGTAAATTGTTTACAACGAGAGCACAATGCAATAACAGGCTTCCTCTCATAATTTTAATGTGGGAGTGATAATTGTTTAAATGTCTAATAATTCAGTAGTATTGTGTGTTTGTGTGTATACTCTTTTATTCACCTGTCACGCATATGGATGCTCTAAATGTCAATAATTCAATTAACTAACACGTCAATTAAGATAATAGTCTGTTTGTTAATTTTGCCTTTCTCAGCTTTGCACTCTATTTTCCCTCTTTTTTCTTTTCCACCACACAACACTGTCACCACCACAATGACTGTAAGCTCTAGAGAACAGAGAACAGCGCTACTGCTCTAATACAGCAAGGTAATTTACCTTTGATCATTTTATACTGAAATCATTGTAGCAGTGCATGCATGCAAATCTGGTTTACCTCAATATTCACTCTTATGCAAAAAAGTTGATTCTTTGTTTTTTAACAATTCTGGGTCAATGCTAAGAAATTGGGCTTTCTTTGTTGAGGAATGCTGATTTAAACATGGTTAATGACTTCTTTCATACATTAAAGTGTCAGTAAGAAGGAAAATGTTAAAACACATCAATGAAATCTAATTCTTGATGTGATTAAAGATGTTACTGCATCTGAGTTCAGACAGATTTCTGCTCTCGCCTCTACAATGTCTCTTGTTTTTGTGCAGGGTGAACTGGTGAACAACATTGAACGGAGGGTGTTGGAGGCTCAGGAATATGTGGAGCAGGCTAAGGAGACCATCCCAAAATGCCAAAAGTTCAAAAAGACCGGCAAACGGGTGAGATTCACACATTCATCAAAGTGACTCATTATTTCTCTTTTTTTCCTCTTTCCTTTCTCCCTTTCTGCTTCCCCTTTTCTCTCTTTGTCATTCACCCACTGTTCCTTCCCTTTATCCCTCCTCCTCTCCACCTGTATCTGCTCAACCTCCTCCTCCTGCCTCCACATCTGCCTCCCTCTTTCTTCTTCCTGCCTTCATGTCTTCCACACCTCCTCTGTAACTAACCTCTCCTAGGGGGAAATGATAGACCGCATAGAGTACAATGTGGAGCACTCAGTAGACTATGTGGAGAGGGCAGTATCAGACACTAAGAAGGCGGTTAAATACCAGAGTAAAGCCCGGAGGGTGAGTCACGTAAACAACAAAACAATGCATGTACACAAACATGCTATCACGTGAAAAAATGATAGATAACTTTTGAAGCATTGCATGTATATATTGTAGTTGTGTAACTGTAACTGTTTCAGTGTGTGTGCATGCTCACCTGTCATACATTCTGCATGTGGAGCATGAGTGTTGTGAGCGTATTTGACATATTCTCACAGATAGGATTACAAATTGGTGTGAGGCTGATCTTGAGTATAATTATTGTGACAATATCCAATAAACTAGGAGCTAGACTTCACAGTACACTGCTGTAACACCTGAACACCACCTGCTGCTGAGAGTTGGGAAACCTGGTGGCTAGAAAGCAGAGACATGAAAATATATAGCTAGAAGTAATGGATAAATGATTCAAATGTTCAGCTTGTGGTAACTGCAAACTCCAGCTCTCTCAATACTTACATGTTAAAACCATTTTCACATTTCAGTCATCATAGATAGTTAGTGAACTGGGTGTGCTGGTGAGTGTATTTTGTTATCTTCAGACAGAGCCAGGCTAGCTGTTACCCCCTGTTTCCAGTCTTTATGCTAAGTTAAACTAACCTGCTGCTGGCTTCAGCTTTTATGAGAGTGATATCGTCTTCATTGATGATTCCAGGATCTTCTTGTATAGAAAACAACAACAACATTGTAACAACATCCAATTTTAAATGATGAATAGTCTCCAGTTTATGTAATGTGTTCAAAAGATTCGGAACATCTCTCTGTAAATAAAGAGGTGAGTAAACTGTAGTTTAACCACCTTGTTTCCCCTCATTGACTGATATAGTTATCTGAAAATAGATTAGTAAACTCTCTCATTTCAAAGAGGTGGATAAACTGAGTTTTTTTGAGTTTATCCCCCACTACACCCCGACTTGAGCTCATTTTACTGGCTTGATTGGGTACAGCAGAGAAAAACTACTGGGAAACACCGGTCTTTTCATGGTGGGTTATTCACTATGCTTCTTTCGTTTAACAACCTGCACCACAGTGGAGCAACTCTGCCACCTCTTGGTTAAAATCTATAATAGCACTCAAAGGTGAAAGAATTTCATACATCACACGACCGTACTGTCTATATTTTCCATTTAGTTTTCTTATTTGCCTTAAATTCAAGCAGGCCTCGCAACCCACATGAAACTATGGCTACCCATTTCTAATCAAAGAACAACGAAGTTTCTATCTTTCTCTTCCTTTCTTCCTCTCTTTCCTTGTCTGTTTCTCATTCTTTATCTCACAAATCGCCTTAATCATTATCTAAAACCTTGCCTTTATTGTTTCCCCTCCCCTTTCCCCACATCCAGAAGAAGATCCTGATAGGATGTTGTGTTGCAGTATGTCTCACCGTCCTCATTATTTCCCTCGCAATTGGACTCAGTTAGGACCATAAGAAATCCCAACTGTGCAGACAGGGCAGGAAATGATGCCTCCCTCTTAGGGTCACGTGTTCGACTGATAATATGTACTGTATAGTGGGCTATGCATTGTGCAATCAGTAACTGCTTGTGAAGTAGGAAGCAGACTTGCATTACTGCTCTGAAGGCAATGTTTTAACTTTTAAATGCATTATTTCACTTTTTCTAAACTAAACAGTCAAAAACACTGAGGAACCAATGTGGGCTTTGTGTCTGTGACATGATACACATACCGCTGTCATGTGCATGTTCTGCTGCCTGTTGAAGAACTTTGCATGTTTTTCTACAAACTCAAATCTGTGTGGTTATGTTAACTGATAATCAAAATAAACCGTCAGCCTCTCACATACTCACAGATGTATCCGAGGACCCTGATAATGTTTTATGAGTCCATAATTCTTAAAAAAAATATAAACTTTGCCTGTTTTTATAGCTTTAAAGGAATATTTTGCTAATTTGGGAAATACACTTATTTGCTTGCTGGGAGTGAACGAGGGGATCGATAAAAAAAAAAAAAATAAAATAAAATAAAAAAAAAAATATATATATATATATATATATATATATATATATATAGCAAGTTGTGTTTTTTTTGGGATTATGTTTCTGGACTATTTCTTGGTCTGCCACAGTCACTTCTGCTGATTAATGTTGATGACAATATTCCAGGAAGTCACTACACAGATAGACCTCAGGTGGTGCTCAAGCACCTGCTCTTTTGGCCTTTTACTAGATAAGTGCCCCTTTTGCAATACATTTTCCTCTATTTCTTATACAAGGAATTTGCCTTGGTACATTGGTGAATAAGAATCACAATCAAGTGTAGAAAAATATAAAGCTTCTATATACAAATATAAAGAGTGTGAGAATATGTACAAATGGCCGGATACAATAAATGAGTAAAGAGCTGTACACAAATGTGCAAAAGAAAATTGACCAGGAAGTCTGCAAGTTTAATGGTGTGACATATGATGATATTAATGTAATCTAACTATGTTTTCATTAGGGTATAATCACCTGAAAATAAGAATCGTAATGTTTTTGTTACTTTAGAATGAGACCTATATCTACAGATGGCTTGCCTTTCTTGGAGGCCGCCATGTTGAACCACCATGTTTCTAAAGTAGCCCCGAAGGGACAAACCAAACACTGGCACTAGATAGGGGTGTTTTTCAAGTGTTTCACAGCCACTATAGCTTGTCCGTTGTGCTTGAAAGGAACTATCCGTCTCAGCTCTGATTGGTTGTTTTCATTCAGACACAGTGGATTCTTGAAAATGCTATTAGGAGTACTGAGGAGCCAGAGTTAATTGTACAGTAATTAGTGAGGCCCGGTCCCCAGAAACACTGCACTCTGACAACATGTATCGTTTTTCCAACTTAGTTCTTGTCTCATCTGTGGTCTGATGAACTGTAAATTAATCCAATTGGGTGCCCCATATCGCTGAATGGTTAATTATTTTATGGCCCACTAAAGCATGCAGAATGTGACACTGTTGTCTTTGTTGTTGTTGATCAGTCTTTATGATAAATGTAAGCCTAAGTAAAAGATGTATGTAACTTATGTGAGGGGTGCCATTTTTTTCTGCTTGAGCTCCTCACCCATAATATGTCTGAGCATGTTCCCGGCCAAGAAAAGTAGTCCAGTACATAAACCCTACAGATCTTCTTAAAAGAACTAGACACTGGACCCCAATAGGCCGCCCTCTGAAAATTAGTGTATAAACCAAAAAGGTTTTCTAGCTTCCAGGTTTGCATCTGTGTGGTTTCTTTCTTATGCTAAGCTAAGCTAACCAGAAAGTGGTATCGATCCTTTCATCTAACTATCAGCTAAAGGCAAATAAGTGTTGAGCTGTTCTTTTAATTAAAGGAGACTGTAGATTCCTCGGGGTTTAAATGTTGGACATGAACTCATGTAGAGGAATGAATATTCCAAAGACATGTTTTACAATTTAAAGTTGCTTTAAAGTCACTGTGTGGCTTTTTGAAGAAAAAGGAAATAATCCAGGTGAACATCAGCGCAGTCAATATGCTTTGAAGGTCCAGTGTGTAACTTTTAGGAGGCTCTATTGGCAGAAATGGAATATAATATCTATAGCTATGTTTTCATTAATGTATAATCAATATAAGAAACACTGTGTTTTTGTTACCTTAGAGCCTACAGATGATGCACGTCACCTTTAATGGAGTCTGTCTTGTCTCTACAGTAGCCCAGAATGGACAAACCAAACACTGGCTGTAGCCTGTTCTCATTCCCAGGTTGTCAGATATAGACGCGTGCAGTGTTCAGTTAGTTACATACTGCAGTTTCACCTTTAGATACCCTTAAACTGCTACACACTGGTCCTTTAAGGTCTTTCAGGAGATTGCTGCATGCATTGCTGTCCGCCACATAACCCTCTGCGGTGCTACCACCAGATGGCGCCGAAATTGCGGGTTCCCACATTCTGCACATGGTGGCTTTAAATTTGAGAATGAGTTTGTGGCATGTGTGAATGTACTGCATGTTGTTTAATGTGGAATGAACAAAATGCAGTAACCAGAGATTGATTGATTGAATGATTGACTGATTGATTGATTGATTGATTGATTGATTGGTTGATTGCTTCTAAATCGCAGTCTTAATCCAACAACATCATTCTAAACTGCATTTTGTTCTCATTATTGTAAATACTGTAATGTTTTAAAGTCATATTTTTTAACATGTTTTCCTCTGTTCCCCATTTGCTGCCTTGGATTTATCTGTTGTTGTTACCATACAGAAGAAAATTATTATAATTATATGCTGTGTGGTTCTGGGAATTGTCATTGCTTCCAGCGTTGGGGGAATGCTGGCCTAAACCTCAACCACAGTCACACTAAAAGACACACAGCCGCACACACAACAGAGCAAAAACACTACAGATTCACATTTTCAGTTTCCTGGTCTCATGAATGCAATCTATCACATGTTTAGTGCAAGGTGCGTAACATACTGTACGACACATTTTACACGCGGTGTACAGGGCCAGAGGTGTTTTCGCATGAGTTGCTATTTTGTAAACGTGTGGTGCTGCAAACTGTTTATCTGAGTGTTGAGTGTTGTCAACGATATGATGTTTCCAAAAGTGAATTCTTGAATGAAAAAGTTACACAATGACATGTACCACTATACTAATACATTCCAACTTCCGAATATGACACTTATTCAGTTTTAATGTCTATTTTGTGTTGTACAGGCAAAGTGACCACTAATCTGCAGTGTTTTCAAAAGCCACGTTATCTATAAGCATTTATTTACACCTTTATCTTTTATAGTCTTTTTGTTTTCTCTCTCTGATGTCCTCTACCTCCCTCGCATGGTTTAGTTCACTGTAAAGTGGTGTTTGTTTTCTATTTGCAAAAGGGGAAAAGGAGACACGTTGGATATTTTGCTCGTAAAATCATCACACTGCCAAACTTTTCAAACGTCATCTCCTGTAGTTCCTAAAAACAATGTACTTAACTTCATCTGGCCTTACCAATTGTGCAGCATTTCTGACCTTTGCTCCAGTGTTGGGTGTGAATGCGTGCATGCAGAGAATATGTGCGTGTTCATTTGTAGCTACATGTTTGAACGTGCTGAGTGCCAGTCATGGGAGAAGATGCGTGCTTGTTTCTAGCCACCTGTGTCTTTGTTTTGTATAAAGTGTAAACTGATATAAAGCTCTCTAACACTGCCAGTATGTTCAAATAAGCTGTTAAATAGTCTGGTTGGATTGATAAATCTGGATTGTAAGTGACAAACCCTTGTTGTTTTATGTCATTTTATAAACCCCCTGAGCTTTAAACAGAGTATATCCTTCTGTCAAGCTACTTCTGTATTTATTTGTATGAGTGAACTTGATGAGGCGGTAAAAGCGTCAGCATGAACTCAATGAACCCCGTTAAAAACGCTGTCACATCAGTTTCCTGGCGACACATCTGACATGCACAGACTGCAACCATGTTTACCATGTTGCCTACTCAACTTGTTGCCTTTGTGTTGTATTGTGATGATATGGTTTTGTTTGTTTGATTTGAGTTTGTTTTTTCAAGTAAAGTTTGTCTGAAAAATCACATTAAGAGTTTGTGCATTGCTTTGTCAGTGCTTTCACAGGATGTCCATTAAGTCCATTAAACCTGGGTCTTAGTAACTTTACACTTGTCAATGCATCTGTAGAGATTCAGGAAAATCGACCCCGGCACAACAATGTATATGTTGTATGTACTAAAGCTCATATTTTATTTTGAAGGCTGTTTGTCTGTCACGGAGAGAGATACATTATAACAATTAATTTGCTTTAGTTGGTGTGTTTTATTGGAAATGTCTTTTCACTGTCCCTATTTCTACATCCCTAATTCCTAATGTCCCTCATTCCCGCTTATAAGTGTAGTGATTTTCAGTCATCTTCTGTAATTCCCATTTTGGTTGGGCAACTATGTCCTTTTGGCACATTACTTACCATCAACCGGTCTAAAGTTCCTCTTTTCTCAAAGTGAAAACACACAGAACATTTACTTCCTCATCTAGTCTCATACCCACTGAGATTTAACAACATGTTTGTTTCAAATAAACACATTTATTTATAGTATTTTATTGTCCCATTATCGTTTACAACAGGAGTTTGGATCATAGGCAAAAGCAAACACATATTGTATTGTTAAGATGCTAAATGGATCCCAAATTCCCTTAATTGACTGACTTCCTGTGCAAAGGGGATAAAGAAAGGGGGATGACATGCAGCAAAAGGCCACAGGTTGAAATCAAACCTGCAGCAAGGACCTCTGTACACAGGAAGCACTTTCTACTAGGTGAGCTACCAGAGTTACAACAAGTAACACCGTAAGTATAGACTGATTCCTTCAAATCCCCTTAACCAGTGGTGGCAGAAGTGTTTACATCCTATACACAAGTAAAAGTAGAAATGTCACCAATTAAAAATACTCCATTACAACTAAAAGTCCTGCGTGAAGAATGTTACTTAAGTAAAAGTACAGCAGAATCCTCAGAAAAATGTACATGAAGTATGAAAAGTTAAATTAATCATCATGACTTAAAAGCTATATTTGGATTGTTATTACACAAACAGCATTTAATTGTTCATTGTTGTTCCAAACAACTACACACACTGTTGAGTAGTTTATTCTGAAACATTGTTTTGTAGTGTATTTTATAAATCGACTGTATATGTTGTATGTATAATCTGCAAAGTAATAGTTATCATCTGTCAGATTAAAGTACTGATTGTAAAAAGTACACTACGTTCCTCTATATAAAGCAATAAACATGGAAAAACACAAGTACCCAAACACACAAAAACTGTACTATACTTGTACTGTCCACTTCCAATAGCTAAAAATAACTCTTTTCAACAATATACACAAAGTATAGAAGTGTCACACTGTCAGATATATAAAAATATAAATGCAATGATTTAAGTAAATGGAAAACAAAGTTTGATCTATTCACCAACTAGTTCATCTTAAAGCACAGTGAGCCTAATGTAAAGACATCAAGTTTGTATTAACCAACACTCAATCCTTTCTCAGTGGCCTGGACAGAGGTAGAAGCGCTTTGTCAGAGTGCATCTGTCTTTGGTTGGCATTTGTTTGAGAGAAGGGTTTATGTTAAAGTCTTCAAAGCGTTGCATGACCTGTGAGATTGAAGCAGTGCATTAAATTAAACCATATCCTGGTGTGCATGCATGTTTCAATCCCACGACAGTTTGCACTCGGAAAACTTACTTTTCTGAAGAGTTCTTCAACATCATCGTTATGTGCACAGGTGTAGAATACCTCGACAATATACTTGATAAGAAAAGACCCACTATCGGGTTGTCTGTATGAGACAGTATCTGGAGGAAAAAAATACAGAAACAGAAAATATATGTCTTTTTTATTACATAAGGTAACTATTCTTAACATTTCTTCATTGAGCTAGAGAATAAGATGTGATAATATTAAAGTTAACTCACCAGGAGTGCTGGAGAGAAGAGAAATAAAGTCTTTTTCTTTGTGTACGCAATGCAAAGCATCATCCACTATGTTGTCGTAACCAGCAGAGAACAATGGAAACGGCTGATTCACATCATCACAGACCACAGCTGGTTTGACGCTATCACTAACAAGTACTGCTCCTCCCGCCTCTGAAACACATGTGGCATACTTTTAATGGAGTGCAAGTTGTGATGTTTGGTTTATATGTAAGAGTAAATCAGAGAAGAGAGAATTACCTCCTCTGCAGGCCTGGATGATGATGATCTTGGGTTTGTTCAACAGCGCTGGACATTTCTTTGAGCCCAAATGATCGTAAATGTTGTTGATGGGGAACTCATCTGGATTATCCTCTGCGTAGTTCACACCGAGGACAGCTCCCAGTTTCCCATGAGACATGATAACCACCAACACACTGTCAGTCTCCCTGAGTTTTGGATGTTTAGAGAATCTAGTCATGGCATCATCAATGTCCTGTGAGACCAGAAATTCAGATGATTTTCTTTCCTCTATTTATACATACAGAACAGAAACCAGGTCTATGCACATCCTGGCAAAAATATATTCTAGTGCAGGACAATCACACCCATCATAGGGCAACTCTGTGGGACAGACAAATATGAAAAAAGAGAATAAAAACCTTTATTTGAAGCCTAGTGTGCAGAGTTTTTCTTCTTTGTTACATTATAACTAACTAAGTAACTAGATTATGTAATCTGGATACAAAAAGAAGGTAACTGTAGTCCTTTACAGTTACAAAAAAAAAAATGCAATCATGTAATCAGGATTACAATTTCAAAATACATTGGGTGTTCTTTAGAAATACACTGAACAGAGGACACATTTTGAATCTAAACTCTTATAGAATACACTTACATTTATACTTCTTATTGATATTTCTTTTCTCTTGTATTTATTTGAATACTTGGTGTTGAGGTAATCTGACAGTAACAGAAAGTAATCAAGTTACGTAACTTTAATATTGTGATACTTCGCCCACTGACTATATTTTAACAGTATAGTTATTGGATTATATTAAAATAAAGAATCCCAACTGTGATTATAAAGTACCTTTCCTGTGAGGTTTGTGTATTTCACCACCTCGTATCCCAGATCTGTGAGCAGTTTCTCCATGTTCTGCTCGTCTTTCTCAGCTCCATATCTGTTTAAGTTCTGATTAGCAAATATCATGTTAGTGATGAGCAGGGCCACACGATTCCTAATGGACTGGTCTGTCACACGGTAAATCTGAAAAAACAAATTTAAAGGGAGAACGTTAAACAAATTTTACAACATCATTTACAGGAAATATGTAAATTGGAGGAACCAATTTAATACTCTTATTGCAGTAAAACAAATTTTCCCGATTGTTCCCACTGCCTGTCTGGGGATAAATCTGTGAACCGACACCATGCAAGATACTTGATATGGCTTTATTGAATTACTAACATGTGTATCTTTTTGTTTTTCTGTCCAGAATGCATCGGTGGTAGGGATGAGCAAAGTCGACCATTTCATCTGGGGCTCTGCAGCTGGGAACACAAATATATTTCTGTTAAAAATGATACACTTCTGTTTCTGTATGCACTTGTATTAATTAAGGTGTTAAAGTATAATATCAGTTGAATATGCTCACCTGGTGGAGCACGTTGACCACAGGATAGACCCAGTTCAGAGTAAAGTGTAGGGTCTCTGTGTTCGATGTGGTCGATCATCTTCTTGCTGGCTTTGGCTCCTTTCCTCTTCACCGTGTCAAGGAGAAGTCGTGCCTTGTCTGCTCTGCTAAGGTTCTCCTCAAGCACTGAATCTTTCTCCCCATCGTTCAAGATACCATCCTCTAAAATGTCGTCCAGGAGCTGACTGACAAGTTCTTTGGATGCCATGTTCACAAACTTTTTCCTCACTGTGGCAAGCTCCTTATCTAGAGTATAACATACCATATGAAGCATAAATAATTAGGTAATTCAAAGGATAGGAACTAAAGATGACATATTTGAATCATGCACAAATCATGCCTATATGGTTAACAGTTACATCTTACCTGCCATTGTTCACAAGCCTTGTCTCTCTGAGTTATTCAAAATCGAACTCTCCAGCCTTCCAACAAGTATGACAAGTGCACACTGCTCACATATTGCATGAGACAATGATACATGTTGCTTTGCAGCACGTAATCCCCATCAGTTATCAGTTATCAGGAAACATTTCTTCCATGGAAGTGTTGCTAAAGAATGCAAGAAGTGGCCAAAACCACACCACATACAATAGATAGATAGATAGATAGATACAACCACGAACTGTAGATAGAAACTTTAGCGAGTTTCACAGCCACCATAGTTTCTCCTACACGCTTCACAGCCCGTTCTCATTCCCAGGTAGTCAAACGCAGACGTAAACAGGTTTCAGTTGGTTGCAATCTGCAACTTAACTACTAGATGCCACTAAATCCTACATACTGATCGTTTAAGGACAGAAAATCAAACATAACAAATGTATATATGGACAAATTAAGCCAGAAGACGTACTGTATGAGCGTCCTAATAACATCTTAATTAGATGATACTTTTCATTGAGGTAAAAGTGGTCAAACTAGTTTTTTGGCTGAGATAACAATGTTCTTATCAAGGAAATCTATTTCCATGCAAGTGGTGGTAAACAAGTAAAACCAGGGAAGATGTTGTGGTGCCGGTTATTAATTGTATTAAAATGATCTTGGTGTGTGCAGAGAGACAGCTCAGCAGACATCTGTGCTCTCAACATTTTACTATATTTAATTTTTTAAAAAGGGTTTTTCTAATCCAGTCGTGCACCCAAGAAGAACTCCCCTGCTGTTTGTGCTTTGTGTGTCACAAATTACATATCTTTTTGTCATGAGCCTGCTTTGAAGTACACTAATCAGCCGTATGCAGCCTCATACGCAACAAACTGCGATGCACTGTGTGTTCTGACACCTTTCTATCAGAACCAGCATTAACTTTTTCAGCAATTGGAGCTTCTAACACATCAATCATAACTATACCACCTAACGCAGTGCACCCTGCATTGTGTGACTACTGACTGACTGACACTACTTATGCACCTTAGGCCTTTCAAACACTGGATTTGACCATGCACCTTAGGACACTAGCCCCATGCTCGTTATTTAGCTATTTATTCTACTTTATTCTATTAGTTCTTCTAAATTGACCTCCTCTTGTTATTATTATTATTATTATTATTATTATTATCAGCTTGTGGATACTGCTGGAAACTGTGAATTTCCCCTTGGGGATGAATAAAGTATCTATCTATCTATCTATCTATCTATCTATCTATCTATCTATCTATCTATCTATCTATCTATCTATCTACTTGCGGACAAAATGTTCACTTGCTGCCTAATATACCCCATCCACTGACAGGTGCCATGATAACCAGATAGTCAGGATTATTCACTTCAGTTCTCATAATGCTATGGCTGATTGGTGTTTGTTGTTAAGCAGTGCTTGTTTTCCTAAGAACAGAAAGTAATTGGCAGCTTTTACATACCTTTTTGTTATAAGTATGTTTTGAAGAATGTTGTAGAGCATTGTTTGTTTCCTGAAGAACATCAAGCTGTGGATAAGTGGTGGCTGTCACTGATAATGAAAATGGAAGATTCACAATCCTTGTTCATGTGCCAAAATACATTCCAGAGTTCAGTCGAAGCTTATAGGAGGCCTCAGGGGTGAATTACACAGATTAAATTAAAGTAGTTTCAGTGTTTTTATGCTGAAGCCCGGGCAGAGGAACACAAAGCAGTCACATTGTAGCAACATCCGATATAATACAATCAAAACCTGCTTTGTGTGTGCTTTCTTCTGACCTGCATTATGCCTATCCTGTGGTATACTGTTACATTTAAGCAAAGTCTGATAACAATATTTCTAGCATGTTTCCTCTGCTGTCTTTTGCTGCCTTCAGTGAATGTTTTTCTCTTCTTGTTGATGTAAACTTCTGATTAGATAAACCTTGTTTATATGACAGTTATTGGGATATTTCCTATAACAACAACAACAACTGCTGCAGCTCATGTTACTTTACCTTCACAAACTTTGGTCACATTTAGTGGGTTTATATTGATTAGTTTTTACTGTTAGTCCATTCTTTGTGTTGTTAATTAACCTAGTTACATTGCTTTGGCTACATTCATTCACATTCACTAACAGCTGATAGTGCAGCTCTTGGTCTGTCTGTGTCTTCCAGGGTATAATACAACTATTTATTACGTTTGATGAACACCAACGGCCAACGGTTGCTTGGTCTCTCCTCATAGCCACACATTATTTTAATTGTTTTAATAAGATAATGGTTATCTTGTTTCTCGTTCAAGGTTCAGTTACAGCTCTGTAATGTGAGATCAAAAGTAATGAGTTGACATTGACTATTGATTGCTATCTGAAATCTGGGGGAGTCCATTTGAATGGGCCTGATGCAGATGCTTTGGGACTTAAAGATGCAGCCAGAGCCTGTAGACTTCTGTTTACATTGTGCAGACGAAGCCAGTATTATAATATTGTGAGGACTGGACATATTAACAGGCAGCAGAACAAAATCTTAGTTTTCAGTTTTTATTTTTTCTACATTTATATTTTCTACAATGTTTATGTTAAAATTCACATATCATACCTCATTCTGTTCTGTATCTACTCATTCTTACACCGACAGATGGAGCAAACAGTGTGTTCATAAAAAACATGTTATTCATAAAATATGATGACTTTAAAACATGTGCTGAATAGGTGTCACATTATTTAAACATGGCATACTGAAATTTTTATTTGAAGTTTAAAACCTAGACAAAATTATTACAAACAAGAACATATCATAAAGTGTTGTTTTGAATTTGGTTACACGTCTGTGGTTAAACACCAGCAAATCTTGTCTCAGAGGCCTGGGAAGAAGTAGAAGCGCTTTGTTAAAGTGCATCTGTCTTTGGTTGGCATCTGTCTTTTGTTCGGAACAGGAAAGTCTTCAAAGCGTTGCATGACCTGTGAGGTTCAAACAAACAGTGTGTGAAATTAAGCAACACTAGGAGTAATAAAACAATAGCGTTATCATTACTACTGACTCCTATTATACATGCATGTTTCATACCCAGAGGACAGTTTGCACTTAGAAAACGTACTGTTCTGAAAAGTTCTTCGATGTCATCTACATGCGCGGAGGTGTTGATTACGTCAACAATATACTGGATAAGAAAACACCCACGATCTGGTTGTCTGTATGAGACAGTATCTGGAGGAAAAACATACAGAAACACAAAATATATGTTGTTTTATTACATTACTATTATCATTATTTATTTATTTGCTATATCCTGGACGTGAGGTCCTCAAATGCAGCTCTCCTGGTGGTTCCCAAAACAAGATTAAAAAACAAAGGTGATGTTTGCCACCAGAGCCTCCAAACTGTGGAACATCCTTCCAGAGGAGATCAGGATGGCAAATTCTATCACTTCTTTTATTTCTCTTCTTAAATCACACCTTTATAATCTTGCCTTCCTGTGACCCTTTTTACTCACCTTTACTCACCGTAGTTTTATGTCTTGTTTTTTATAGTGTTCTGTTGTTTGTGTTGTTTTTACCCTGTTAAAGCACTTTGTTTTTAAAAGGTCCTATATAAATAAAGTTTATTACTATATTATTACATAAGGTAACTAACTATTAATGTTAATCTTCACTGTTTTATGAGCTAGAGAATAAGATGTGATTATATTAAAGTTAACTCACCGGGGGTGCTGGAGAGAAGAGAAATGAAGTCTTTTTCTTTGTGTACGAAATGCAAGGTATCATCCTCTATGTTTTCTTCACCAGCAGACAGCTCCAGCTGATTCACATCATCACAGAGCACAGCTGGTTTGACACTATCACTAACAAGTACTGCTCCTCCCGCATCTGAAACACATGTGGCATACTTTTAACGGAGTGCAAGTTGCAATGTTTGGTTTATATGTAAGAGTAAATCAGATAAGAGAGAATTACTTCCTCTGCAGGCCTGGATGATGATGATCTTGGGCTTGTTCAGCAGTGCTGGACATTTCTCTGAGCCCAAATGTTCGTAAATGTTGTTGATGGGGAACTCATCTGGATTATCCTCTGCGTAGTTCACACCAAGGACAGCTCCCAGTTTCCCGTGCGACATGATAACCACCAACACACTGTCAGTCTCCCTGAGTTTCGGATTTTTGGAGAACTCAATCATGGCAGCGTCAATTTCCTGTGAGAGCACAATAATTTAGATATCAGTTACTGTATCACAGAACCAACCAGACAAAATATTTTTTTCTATTTCTATTTCTATAAAGTACCTTTGCTGTGAGGTTTGTTCGTTTCACCACATCATATCCCAGAGCTTTGAGAAGTTTCTCCATGTTCTCCTGATCTTTCTCAGCTCCCTTTCTGTTGTATTTCTCATTAGTAAATGTTATATTAGTGATGAGAAGGGCCACACGATTCCTGAAAGCTGTTTTGGAAACAGGGTAAACCTGAAAAACAAATTTAAAGAAATAAAGTTAAACAATGTACCACATGTCAATTAAGATATTCGATATGGCTTTTATGAATTACTAACTTTTTTATCGCTTTGTTTCTCCATCCAGAATTTCTCTGTGGTAGGGATGAGCGTGGTCGACCATTCCTGATCCATCTGGGTCTCTGCAGCTTGGAACAGCAACACATTTCATTTTATGACATTGTTTTTCTTTATACATCTGTATTAACAGTGTTAAAGTATAATATCAGTTTGAATAAAAATAGGATGAAGGTCTCTCTACCTGAAATATGTTCACCTGGTGGAGCAGGCTGTTCAGCCAGACCCAGTTCAGAGTAAAGAGTAAGGTCTCTGCGTTGAATGTGAGCGATGAACTTCCTGCTGGCTACGTCTCCTTTCCTCTTCACCGTGTCAAGGAGATCACGTGCTCTGTCAGCTCTGTTAACGTTCTCCTCAATAATTGAGTCTCTCTCTCCATCGTTTACAATACAGTCAGCTAAAATGTCGTCCAGGAGCTGTTTGATCAGATCTTTGGACACCTTTTCCACAAACTTACTCCTCACCCTGAAAAGCTCCTTATCTAGAAGAGACAATATGAAGCAAAAAATAACTAAATTACACGATTAAAAATGTTGCTTCTTTTCATCAAAGGTGCTGCTATAATAAGACATTAGAAATATTTACAAAACATCGCTTCCCACTTGAAAACCATGTATCTCCAAAATACGAAAAAAAAAAATAACTTTTTACAAGCGAAGAAAGAACAGTTTTAAGCTTTATGACAATACATTTTTCATCAAATCCAAATGGGTTTTAATGGTTTATGTAGATTAAGAAATAGTTACTTGTTTTCAGCATTTAATCCTTACCAGTAAACATTTTTCAGTTGAAAAATGTATCCTCTACAGTGTGCAGATAATAGCCTATTGCACCCTTAGGAGCCTAAAACCACATCCAAATAATATTTACGTGGCTCACATGGGACTCAAACCACAGTTTCCCAGGAGGAAGTCCTACAATTAACACACTCATTCACCACATCTTCCTGTTAATGTGTCACTTCTTCTAATACTTCTATACTATACACCTCATAAAGTTTCATTTTCTGCACGCTGCCCTTCCACATGTAGTTGGTGCCCTTGTTATTTTTTTCTTTTTTTTGCCCCTGTTCCTCATACAGCTTCAGCGCGCCACTGGCGGTATCATGTCCTTCCTCCTCACACAGTATAGAGAAGAAGCCTACAGCTACGCCCATGTTTTTCACTTGAACTGTTGAAAACTTAAATGCGTATTTGCAATAATAATAATAATAATAATTTCACATCACAATGTGAATTATTAGACCACCAGAGTATGTGTTTAACGTAATGCATGGGTTTCAGTCAAAAGAAGTCACTTTTAGAGAATCTTTATTGTCTGACCTGCGTACTTTGGACATCCATAACTCCATAAACCCGCGTTTATTGTTTGCCAACTTATTCTGAACAGTTTAAAGGACTGACACTGTGAGCTCTCTATGAATATGAATATAATGTCAGACACATCACAGTTGTCATTTCAATAAAGTTTTATCGACATTTTTGAAAACCTAACAAAAGCTGCATCTGCAGACAACAGTACACAGGGAAGAGTGGAAGCAAAGTGAAACTATAATGCGTGGCACACACACAGCCAGGCGCAGAGTTATCCAGAGTTTTCTTTGGCACACTTTGTGAAACGAAGACAGAAAATCATATTTTTAACTCCCATCCTCCTCACCGCCTTCATAACACAGACCACTTATAGTAAATACAACTTATGTAAATGTACTCGCTGATCGGCCCTGCTTTTGCCGCCAACATACACCATCATGGTTACTTATAGACTTAATTTAAACCGTGGACTCTTACCTGCCATTTCTTAAATCTCGTATCACATAAATGTCTAAACTGAAGTCTGCAGGTTCTGCAAGTAACCTCCCCGGCGTCAAACGGCCTGTGTGTATGGACGGGTGCGTAATGCGCTCTGGTTCAGATGGTGAGGAGGTTTCCTGCTTTACTTCGCGTAACCTGCTTTATATTATCGGGAGTGCTGGGTAGGATAACGTTAACCATTACCTAAAATGGCGCAGCTGTACACAAGTGTACACATATTAGAAATGGTTGAGACTCTGGCATGAACCCCACATTGTTCCCTTGATTGATTATCAAACAGAAATACGACCCATAACGGACCATTGACTATAAATCAGTCACTTTAGGATACAGATACAATTACAGTACACAATATGTTATGTTATATATCCACATGTCCAAGTTTTATTTGGGATAAGCATTTGGCATTTGCTAGATGATCCCTGATGGTCACATGGCAAATAGGTCACACAGTTTTTAAAAAAATAATTTACAGTAGATTTATCAACTTCAGTCAGCAAATATTTGCTTTACTCTCCACTCTGAAGCCAAAACATATCACATTTACTGAAATCATTAGTTTAAAAGTGCATTGTTATATATGCATAGATTATTAATTTAAGACATAAAGTGATTTTAAGTTTATAAATCCACCTTGTGTGGGGACAAGAGCCAAATTCTTTACATTATACAAAAATATGCCAGAAAATGCTTTAAAAATTGCATGATTATCAATGATGAGCCTTTTCCTCATTTCCTCCATCCAATCAGCAGTGGGTATGAGCGTGAATGACCAGTTCTGCTCCTCTTCTGACACTGTGGCTAGAAACAGCAAAACACAACATCAGTGCATTCAGATGATTGCTCAAAATGATGCATTTCTCTGTGCTGGAGATAAATAGAAATACCAGAAAAACACATCAGTGGTGACATTTTCCTCTGTTGCAATGGACATAAGCACTGTAGTTTATTTTAATTCCACATACATCATCCTGCTGCTGTAAATTCTAATTGTGTATTAATCTGCAGCTGAAAATAGTCCCCTACAAAATGTTTTAAACTATAGTTTTGAGACCAGCTTTTAAAGATTTACATTGTCAGTAGGAACAAGTGGACTTGGGGCTGAGTGCCAGAGACAGCAAGAGGGGAGATGGACTACTGCGCTGTTAACTAGTGTAATGGTAGATTCAGTTTCTTTGTTTTAGCCACTGCAGATGCCCAACCTCCCCCTTCCTAACACAAGATGCCAGGTCCTTTTGTGTTTTGTAGATTGTAATGTCTGGACTTTTGGGCTTTGCACCTGAATGCAAGATCCTGCAGGACACCTCATATGTAAAACACACCAGTAGGGGGTCGACCCTGATGTCTGCAGTGGGCAGAGGGGTGGAAAAGCACTTCCTGGAGGGCCAGACCCCTACAGCAGACAAATGGGTGTGAAAGAGGTGGTCCTCAGGTATAAATGTTTAGATATCCCCATGTTCGGGGTCTTTCTTCATCTTTGACCGCTCGTGTGTTGATTGACCTTTTTTTTGCAAAGAAAATAAACGTGCCGGCCGGCAGAAGTTCTCTATTTCATTCTTCACCAGCAGCAGAGAAATTTCCACAACACTAGTCATTTCATGGGATTTGTGGACAATAAGAAAATATTTAATAAGGTATATTACTCTTTAATCAAACTAGGATAAAGTTCTCCTGACCCCAGGCACGCTCTCTGTTTGTTTACAATAGATTTGAACATGACAGTATTGAGGTACAGCATTAGTTTCTCACACCACCTGAATAAAATCCAAACAAAAGGTCTCCATAGATCATTAGCATTGAGCTCGACCCAAGCATTGCCAGCTCACCTGGTTAAACAGTTTGACATCAGGCCCGACCCAGTTCAGCGTAAAGTATAGGGTCTCTGATTTGAAGGTGAGCGAGCATCTTCCTGCTGGCTACGTCCCCTTTCCTCTTCACCGTGTCAATGAGAGAACGCGCCTTGTCTGCTCTACTAACGTTCTCCTCAAGTATCGAGTCTTTCTCCCCATCGTTCAAGATACCATCCTGTAAAAGGTCGTCCAGGAGCTGATTGATCAGAACTTTGGACACTCTATCCACAAAAGCAGATCTCACTTGGGCAAGCTCCTGATCTAGAAGAAAGAACATGAATACAACATTATACCTCTCAAACTGAGTTTATTCAAGGGATAAACACACTCCAGTAAGCTCCTTGTCTAGAGGAATCATTATGATAAAAATACACAAAATAAAGTAAGTATACAACTCAAGTGTTGACTTCTTGAAGTGTTTTCACAGTTGTAAGGATGAATATGATGTTAAAAGTCTTTGCAAAAGGTGTCTGAAGGCTACTGTACAAGAGAAAATGCAATGAGGGTTGGTGGTGAAAGACTTAAGTTGCAATAACCATCCTGTAAGTATTATCAGTAAAAAAAAAATTTAAAAGTATTAAAAGATAAAAGTATTAATTATGCAGAACAACCACTTTCAGAGTGTTATATGTATAAATAAAAACATACCGAATCCCCATTAATTATGCATCTGTGCACATTTTTATGTTGTAACTGGTCACCGTTTGTAAAAATCTTTATCTGCATGTGCTGCTGCCAGGAAATGTACTGTAGGTAAAACAACATCTTGTGCAAGTAAGTATCAAGCAGTGTGAGACACACTCAAATGTATGTTTATACAAAAGCGGAGGTGGGTATTTGCTTCTATCCTTGTGTAAAAATGAAACCTTTTTGCCATATTCAGAGTTCTTTCTAATCTGTGTTTATAGGTTTATTATTCTTTTTTTATTCTTTGGTCAACATTAGAACACTAAAAGCAATCTTTATATATTAAAAAAAAAACTTAATATACTCAAATAGTTCAGAATGAGGCAGATGTGAGCAACAAGTCAAAGTGAAGCTAAAAGAAAGCAGATAATTAACCTACAGTATTAAGACCACTTGTTGTAACATATGAGTATCATATCAGTGTATTCTTTGCTGATTGGCCTTGATTGTTTTTTCATTTTTTAATTCTGTGTGTTTGCTGGTGAGCTGTACTAGTTCATGCGTCATGCAGCTGTGCAGTTAAAACGGATACGCCCAGATAAACTCACAGCTAAACTTGACGACTTGGGATTTGCTTTGCTTGACTCACCATGTTTAATTCCCATCTAATCCTCGATATATTATTATTAGCAGTATTGATCAAAGTCCCAAAACGTGAACCCTATCCTTCTTTACAGTCCCCACACCTACAGACCCGCGCATTGGCTGACCTCCTTTGTTCTTCCTCTGTACTTTCGTTATCAACATGTATTTTTGACCTCAAATACTCTTACCTGCCATCACTCATAAACGTCGTGTCACCAAAAAGTAGCCAATAGATTAAAGTTAAACGCGTTTAAAATCGCGCCTCCTTCCTGTGCGTGCCTGCGTGCGTGTGTGCGTAAAAGACGATCGAGTGCGCGCCGAAAGCGTCACATGATAATTTCCCTTTAATTTCCCTACATGGAAACAATGGATTTCGGTTGTGCAATCAATCCCTTGGGTTTCCTGTTGCCACTTCTTGGAACATGAACCCACCTGCATGAATAAACAGCTCTTAAGAAATGGTATGTTCTTAGGACACGTATCATATAGCCTATAGTATAGTCACTCCCCTGCCTGCACAGAGGTGTTGTAGCTTGCAGACCCTGAGCTTCAAGGAGGAGGGGTAAATAGAAGCCCAATAAAATATTCTGTTTGCTAGTGGCTGTTGCTTGATTATAAAACTATTTGATTGAGATCCATTAACTTTATAAATGAGAATTATGTTGACAGATAAAAAAAAAAAGAAAAGAAAATGTTATTTCGGCGATTAAAAGTGTTCCTGAGTTAAGCTGATTGATTATTCCTTAGCTTGAATGTAAACACAGATATGTCTAAAAAGATAGGAAAATATACATTGTGATTACTCAAAGTTAACACCTGTATACTTAGTAAGGGAGTGTATTCTGAAAGTTAGGAGGGAATGTCTAGGCTGTGGTCTTCCCTCTATGCTGTATGAGTAAAGGAATTTGATTTATCACACTGGGTTTGTAATAGTTTAAAGAACTGGATGGAAGTGCGGCTGATCTGCGCCTGGGTCAAGACAGAAGGTAAATGCCAGTAGGGAAAGTTCCGCTCCGACAAACGGAGGGCAGGATCCTGCCTGATGTCAGACTTAGGTGGTGGACAGTGTCCACTCCATCCATTGGTAAAAGTGAGTACAGTGTTTTGAATTAAATCAAGAGTGAAAAAGACCAGTCATAACCACTACTGGGTCTGTGTAGTGATGTGAGGTGATGGGAGTTTCCAAGCCTATGTTGATGTAAAGCCAAATGAGATATTGAAATGTGGTTTCAGGTTTTACCGAAACCATTGAAGCAAAGGAAAAAGATAATAAGAAGAAAAAAATAGAAAACAAACAACTAAACGACTTAAAAAGGAAAATACAAATAAAGAGGATAACTAGAAATGGGGACTAAATATAAGAGAAGTAACTAAGATAAGAATGGAAATTACTGTGATGCCTAGTGGATAATACACCACGATAGAGGTTTCTTTTGGTGAGGATTTGGGGAAAGAGAAATAAAATTCCCACTAACCACTATGAGGGCATATGAGTGAAGAAAGTAAAAAACTATAAACTTTGTGTTTACTCAGCCAGTGTCTGGTATACATTGTGTATACTTCAAGGGTGTGCTGCTGGGAGCATAGGTGTCATAAAAGCCACCTGGCTGATCTGAATTGTCTAGAGGTTTGTGTGTATGATAAGATCAGACCATACATGGTATGTAAGATCAGTGGGATTGAGAATGATGTGTGAATGATAAGCCCATTAAAGTTAAAAGCAAACCAGTTCTAGTGAGTTTATAGTAGAAATGGGGATAAAATTGGGGAAATTAAATTCCTTACTTTACTCTCTTAAAGGCATTACTGAAATTTCAGAAAAAGGGAGAAACAATGTAGAATGAGGATGTTGAACTTTGGTATCATGTAATTAGTGTTGTTTATCATAGGTATAGAACAGATTGTTTAAAGAAGGAGTGAGACAGTAGAAAAACAGAAAGATGGAGAGGAGTGTATAGAGCCAGAGCAGGGGTTGGACCTCCCCATATGCTGTCTCCTACTACAAGAACCCCTCTAAGATAAACAACTTCAGGAAGACCAACTGTGCCTGACCTGTTCGGTCTTGCTCTCTGAATCCTACAACAGCGACTGGGGAAGGGCAGAGAAAACTAACTTTGCTTCTCCCAGGAAGTCTTTTTTGTCACTAGTAGATACCTACAATCACAGGCTGGGGAGCCAAAAGGACAATGTAGAGTGATGATGACATTCCCAGGCTGGGGATTGGTGATTGTTTAGATACACATCTTGAACGTTTAAAGAAACAAAGAGAACAAGAGAGAGAGATGGCAGAAAGATTCCTTGACCTTTATCCCTTGTCCGATCTGGTGAGAAGGAGAAGATCCAAATGAGTTTTGGTCAGAGGCACCAACAAAAGGACCACAGGAACAACCATAGGAGACAGTGGGGTGCAGATCAGAGTACTGAATAGTACATTGACATAGATACAGACACACAAGGAGAAGATAAATGATGACAATGATGAGCCAGTAGTTACAGATTATTGATATTTACAGTTAACACTAGATGCAAAGACAACTTTAGGTTAATTCTAAATATAGTAAGTGATATAGTGAGATTCTTTGTAGACTTAGGAGTAGATGTCTCCATAGTCAATGCATTGCTTTTAATAGTTTTTGATTGTTGTTTGTGGACTTCTTGTGGAGTTCTGATTTGGGGAGA